TTAGGAGAGGAGGACCGTCCCTCCTTTAGAACATCTCGTTCTAGACGCGCATCCGTGCGCCGTATACCAGACGTCACATGGAAAAGGCGCGCTTTGGAATAGGCGAGTTTGAAGAAACAGAGAAGCGTCTGTCAGCGTTCTGTTACACACTAAAGCAACTGTCGTCTTTTTTCCTTTCTTTTTTGATGGTGTGACAAAAAGACGTTTCTTTAACTAACCCCCGAGATGTTAGCTTGGCCACGCGCCTATAGGATGACGTGGTAGATCGTGAACGTGATGTGTAAGACGACTCACTCATATATATAAATTTCTTGCACCTATACCTACCTACACGGCCTGGTCTGGATACACCCACCTTAGTAGGAAAGTCGAATTACATCTCAAAAAAGGTGGCAATACAGGCACGTATTCAATCACGCACAACAGCGCGTATTGCACGAAGGTAATTTATAATTCACTTGGCATCTCTCGAGGCTCGTGGCGTTTACGATGACGTCACATGTTCATATTGTGGATAAATATGAGTGCGTTCCGTCCCTGATTGGTACACTATACCACTGGTCTGACTGTCTAACCTAACGCACCAGCCGCAGAGAACTTGGCAAATCACGGGGATAGTTTCCGCGTTGGGACTGCAGGGACGAAGACTCTGGCGAGCTATCAACTTTGCGCAAATTTCGTCAGGCAATCCGAGACATTGCTGTTTCGCTTTCACCGCGCTTATTTTGTTGGTCGTTATTTTTTCAACGCACCTGTTTCCCTGTGTCACCAAACCAGACTCACTTATGGAGTTCGCTCGTGGTATTTCTGGTCTTTAGGGTGGGGAAATCAAGAAGCCAGTCAAGTTTCTTGAAACATGTGGAGTCTGCGTAACCGAGCGACACGCCGGTTGTCGCGCCGCTGGAATTTGAACAGTCAGAGGGGTTGAAGCACCGGAACATAAAAGAGCGCCAACGTCAGCTTGGCGGTCGATTATCAGGACGATCTATATACGCTACGTCTATTCGGAGCGTCTTGTCGGTTCAAATCGTTGGCAGTTCGCTCTTGTAGTCATTGTATATGACTTAAATGTCCAAGAAAGATTGCGAGGTCTGTGCGGAATGTGCGGTCACAGCGCAAGCCAAAAGAGGGGCCTTTTGATAGCCCATAGGAAACTCTTGGAGCAACTATTACAAGTACACTTGCAAGGTAGCCGCTGCATTACAAAGCATCACAATTTCGGGGATGTAGGAAAACACAGACTGTATCATTATTCGTCGAGTCTGTGGAGAAGCGAGTTATCTGCTGCACATATGTAAGGAATCATGTGCGCTTTTTGCTGGGGCTACTGACAATGAAGTACTATAGTTCAGCCTTTTCAATTGACCGGGAAGGCTTATACAACACACTCGCTGTAAAATTCGCGTTGTGCGAGGCCTGGATGTTAATATACTATTATATCGTAGTATAATAATTTTTGTTAAATTACGCGATTCCTTGCGCGAGATGACGCCTGTAAACGGCTGCTTTACGAAGGACTTTCAAGCCCCGGCGTGGCTTTGTGGTATAATACCCGACTGTATTGCACTGGGCTCGGGTTCGAATCCCATGTAGTCCTAAATATATATTTTTTCTAATTTTGCGTGATAGCAATTCTGGATAGCAGTGGCGGTGGACAGCTACGCCACTTAAAACACCTGCTATCTCAAAAGTGATTTCGCTGTAAAAGTAGCCAGAAGCTTTTATGCGGACCTGACGTGCTGTTTAAACGTACATACATACATACATACATACATACATACATGCATGCATGCATGCATGCATACATACATACATACATACATACATACACACACACACACACACACACACACACATACATACATACATACATACATACATACATACATACATACATACATACATACATACATACATACATACATACATACATACATACATACATACATACATACATACGAAGTGACGACGAAGTGACTCTTAAAAAGAGAAAAGAAGAGAAAAGTGAGCCCCGTTATTGTCTGCTTCAGTGAGCGACACCGCCACAGTAGCTCACGAGGGATGGGGGTGAGGAGGGATAAAAAGGATAGGAGTAAAGATGTAGGAAAGCCGAAGAAGGAGAAGAGAAGAAGAGACGTGAGGTGGTGAGCCAGAGCGAGCGACGACAAGATGAGGGGATAGAAGAGATAGGAAAGATGAAGCACGGTCACTGGAGTCCGAGGACGGGGCGCACCTGCGAGAGCTCCTTTCGGCGTCGGTGGATGGCGTAGAACAAGTCCAGTAAGTCAGAGCTGCACTGTCGTCGGAGTTGGAAGGTCGTCGGCGGCAGGAGGTGACGTAGGACGAGCCCAGTCGGCCAGAGCCACGATGACGCGGGAGATCGCAAGCGCGCGGAGCGCGCGAGCGCACGACCGGTCGGCCCGAAATCCAGCAAGCGAGATATACATACATACATACATACATACATACATACATACATACATACATACATACATACATACATACATACATACATACATATACATACATACATACATACATACATACACACACATATACATACATACATACATACATACATACATACATACATACATACATACATACATACATACATACATACATGCATACATACATACATGCATACATACATACATACATACATACATACATACATACATACATACACATACATACATACATACATACATACATACATACATACATACATACATACATACATACATACATACATACATACATACATACATACATACATACATACATACATACATACATACATACACACACACATATACATACATACATACATACATACATACACACACATATACATACATACATACATACATACATACATACATACATACATACATACATACATACATACATACATACATACATGCATACATCATACATACATACATACATACATACATACATACATACATACATACACATACATACATACATACATACATACATACATACATACATACATACATACATACATACATACATACATACATACATACATACATACATACATACATACATACATACATACATACATACATACATACATACATACATACATACATACGAATTATTAACTTACTGTATTTGCTTGGGACCACTTGGCTTTTTTTTCAGTGCGTCGAATTCGTCAAATACAGAATACCTCATCGTTCTCCTCCTGTCTCCATCAGGTAGTTGCAGCTTCACCAAAGTTTCACAAGAAAGCAAGCTTGAATTGTTTCTGATAACTTTTACTGTTTCTGTATCCAATCACTCCAACACTATACATATACAGTAAATTACATTTGTGTATCACAAAACACGGTGATAAGACCTGACAGTGTTGCGCTCTGAAAAATATTTACTTAAAGTCATTATCAGCCTATCTAACAGCCATGATTTATTGGTTGTTTGCAAACTGGCGTTGGCGGTTTTGTACAAAGTCGGCAATACGATAAATTAAAACTAAAATTGCACAATCATCTATTTTTTTTTCGTCTTACGTTACGAGTAATACTTTTCCACATGACTTCACGTTAGTCTTGGCTAATTCGTGGAAAACCTGCGCTGAAGGCAAATTGAAGTTTGATCATTTCGGCTGCTTAAGATAGCTGCTGCTGTGTATGAAGGTATTATTGTCAAATTCATTCTACATGTAAATGGCATGCTGGAATGAAAATCCCGTAGAAACGCTACGGGAAAAAAAAAAAAACATTATGTTGCAGTTAAAGCAAATTGGTAAATTTGGCAGCATCGTTGGAAGGAAACTCCGCCTCATTGGTTCGGAAGCATATATTTGAGTAATTATAATATTAATCACGTTATTTTAGTTGAGTTTAATATCATCAATAAGGGGTGGAACGTGATGCCTAACCACGTGAAATTATGGGCGCCACGGCGATAAGGAAACGTATGAATCAGCTGATGAGGTCACAGTGACAAGCACCTGCAATTTAATGTCACTGGAAGGACCAGCAATGAAGATAAAAATTTAATATTGTAACCCTGTATACGTTCCTTAATTTAGGTGGAGGGAATAAAAAAAACGTAGTAAAGTGTGCAGGGGAAACTAACAAAAGTGCACTATTGATTCGTACGCTAAATTCCAGTATAGTACAATGACAGGCTTTAGGTTTATTCTCAGATGTTAACTCTGAGAAGCCAGAAATTAAAGAAGCCAAAAGTGGACGTATCGTGGCTGCTGAACGATGTACTTATCGCCATGGATGGATAGCCAGTACTGCTAGTAAAACTAGAGAGACGTTAGTTCCAGCAAGTTGCAGCCGACACACGTTCTTAACACTTCATTTATCCCTCGGAGGGGATGCCTGCAGTGATTCACGGGATGAACGCGCCGACGTGACGTCAAAGCGAGACCGCACGTCTCAGTCATCCCCACAACAAACCATGCCACGGGCTTGCTTTAATATTGTTTTCTTTCGTATCCTTCCCTTCAGTTTACCGACACACTATACGCGTTCGCCGTTCGGCTTGCTCTTTTCGAACTGCATAACTCAGCGCCGGCAACCCCCGCTTTCAGTAGAACTGTGCACCGTTGGAAGAGCTGAAGCTGGCGGGAGCTAATCATTCACGAAGTCGTTAGGGCATGATACCTGTTAGCGACCGCACCTTGCGGTTGTGTGATTGTCATCAAGACAGTTAAATATACCCGGCCAGTGTTACAACCAGTTCTTAAACAATTTCGCAGCTAGAGAGTATGGAAAACAAAGGCTATTGATAATCTAACGTCCGAGCTGGCCTCCACAGTGCTGCACCGTATTATGGCGAGCGATGCTGCACCGTTCCGTGGAAAGCCGAACCGTCCTGTGCCTAGGGGTGCCGTCATTGGCTAATTTCTATCGCGGCCCCGTTATGGGGGCGCTTGTGACATCATCGCCGACCAATCGCGTGGCTCCGCGCGGACCCCGGGCGCTGACAGCGGCCCGCGAGGACTGGGTATTTTTAGGAGGCCCGCAGGCACCTTGGCCGCAGCGCATCCCAACACTGTGCCCAGTCGGAGTCCAGTGCTCGCCCCGAACGCACCGAGGAACAGCTCCTTCGCTTAGCACACGCTACCAACACACAACACACAAGCCATGGCTAACCGCGGACCCGCCTACGGACTCAGCGCCCAAGTGCAGAACAAGGTGAGCCTACGCGTACGATGCTGTGACGATGGACTATGCCGTGCGCGTCGTACACGAAGAAAGCGGCTAAGGCCTCTCGGATTACGAAAGTTCTTCGGCGACTTGTGTCTGCGTCCACTCTTCGGCGATGCGACTTGTGGTGAATTCGGAGAAAAGAGGCGGGGGATGTCGATGAAAGTGGGGAAACTGTCAAGGGACGTGCAGGTTGCGTCAAACAGAGTGTAAACAGTGATGGGGCGTGGCATCTTCGTGAAGCATAGGGAAGACTGGCTATATACTCATACGATGGAAGCGTAGTTTGAATCTAACGGTTTCGTGCAAACGCGAGCTCCTTGTTGTCGCGCTCTCTTAAAGATACGGATACGGCACGCCCTGTTAATATATCCGAATGCAAGAGAAACTACAAGTTTAATGGTGGTCATGTGATCTATAGGATGAGTTGAGGATAAACGTTCTGAACGAGACGAAGTGGCAGCCTACTTAAGGTACATGTTTCATTCCAAACAATGCGAAGGAAAAGCTATGACACGTGGATTATCGCATTATCTGTATTAAGGAACGTCGCGATATTGCATATACATCGCGATCAGCGTATCTGGACGAAAGAAAACGCAAAGCTATCTTTTTCTTACCCGTTCTTGATTGTTCTAAGATAAAAAAAAAAGTGTTGTCGCCATTCGTATTTGGAAGAAAGTAACTTCACTTACAATGTCAATTTTACGCCGCAATTGTGAAAGCCAACGACGGCTAGCCAGACACGTCGTCACAAAATATGGCCGACTGCCCGAAATTCCCCAGACGGTGTCAAACTGGAAAGCGCAACGGCGAAAATTTTTTTTCTCGAATTTCTAAATTTAGCGTCTACATTAGCCGGTCACCAAAATTGGCAGCGTGCGCCCAAGACCGCCCAGGCGACGCCTTCCGCCGCCCACGCCAAGAATAGCAACATGTCGGCGCGACCGTGCCAGCTGACACTTCATCGCTGACCGAAAATTGGAGCAAAATGGCGACGCCACGAGCTCAAAAGGCCTTCCGCATTGCTCGGTCCATAGTTTTTTTTTCTCGAGATATATGAGCGAAAGCTGTGTTTACAAGCTGACAAGAACAACGCGCTGACAGCCACGACATTCGATGCTGTCAACGTTGGCACAAGCTTTGGAGACTGTTTTAACAGCGTTTCTTGCCAAGAGTTCTTGGCACTAGGGTAAAGAGCATGCTGAAGAATGAGGATTTGATGGGTTCGAGCTCAAATGACGGCCACTCTAAACATTCGGCAAATAGGAGACGGCATGCTCCCACGGACCAGTACGAGAGCTGCTCAAGGAACGTGAACTCCAGATATTTTCATTCAATAGAGGCGTAGTTGAATACACGAGCTTACGTAGAATGGGATGCCTCAAAAGGCACATGAAGGGTCGCTAGTCCTCATGCTAACGAGTGTTAAGCAGATCGATATACAGGTGCCACAGCTTCATCAAAAGGTTCACGACGCTGATGGCAGATGGCATGAGCTTTGCCCTTCGTATGTCAGTTTTAATAAGTCGATTCCCAGCTCATTGCACTGACTTCCCGCTATACCGCTTCCCTTCACACCGATGAACCATTTTGATCGTATGAAAACTTGTTCTTCCAAAAGCTCGGAAGAGCGTACAATGTCACCCGCGTCGTTCGGACAACACCAGCTACAGATTCCAGGTATTTTATCATTATCAGTGTACTTGTATTCACTATTTCAATGTGACCGATTGCAGTGAGCAAACGCGTTCTCAGGGTTATCCGTTAGGGAGGGCCATGTTTAAGACGTGGTCCTCATGATAGAGTGCCTTTGGTCACGAACTTTCTAGCAAGAACGGTGGTATGGGATAGTTCTTGGAATCTTAACATTTGAGGTACTGGGCCATCATTATTGTTGAAAACCTGCATGGCCATTACGCTGCACATTAAAAGATGACAGTGCAAGTTCGACTGGATAAGAATAGAAAATAGACTTAGCGGACCCCCCTCCCCCCTCTTCTTGTGCGTACAGCTATGTCAATGTGTCAATACACTGCATAAAAACTACTCTTTTGCGTAACATGCCAGGGGATCGAGAAGTCATTTTAGGTGGAAATAATGGCATTGCAGATCGCTGGCAAGCGTGACCCAGCTCTGGAGGAGAGCATCATGCAGTGGATGGCCGCCATCCTCGGACAGCCCCTGCCGAACGGTGACTTTGGTGACATCCTCCGCGATGGCGTTGTCCTCTGCAAGTGAGTGGCCATTTCTTACTACCATTTCTACGCACCCAAGCGTCTCAAAAAGACACAAAAGAAAAAAAAATTAATTGACAAGGCTTAAAATGTCATTCTACAGAACATTTACTTTTCATTTCTGGCACGTTCTAATCCTATTGCATATGCATTCAAGAAAACAACGTTACTAATCTTGACATATTCATCTTTCATTCGTCATTCAACATTCATCAGTATCGTTATAACTAAGACGCTGCGCGTCTAGACAGCCGAAATCGATAGGTCAATCCCACCGATTATCAGAAAAGGTCAATCACGCCACGAACACCGAATGCAAAACAGAGGCACTTCGCGAAAACTTGTCACACGTCGCGTGAAACTTAGTTCAAACGTACTGTTACGCACTTCTTTTCAAGTCCGGAGACATAATTCTATACGGCACCTCTCGCGCTTCAATACAAGCAAATGTATGTAAGTGGCAAAGTGAGAACCACACGGTGTGCGAGACTCGAAGGTTACAGAGCAAGGAGGCCCCTCATACTGCCTGAAAACACCGAGAGAGGACAAAAAAGCAGGAAACCCAAATGTACCTGTCACGCCAGCGTACTACCACAGGCGTAATAGGCACACAACCCGTAGGAACGATAGACAAGAACAGTGGAATATGTGATCGAGAGCAAGTGTGCCCATTCGATAACTACTCTGACAAAAATAACGGCGATAGTTTGAAAGTGTTCTGCGATAAGTGAATTATGAGGTTTTGTTTTTTTAATATAGAACACCTTCCGCAAACTCATGTTGGAAGACGACGAATGAGGTCATCCTGTAAAGAATTAGCACAAGTGTGGGTGCAATATCGCCACACAATGTGTTTTGCTCAGTTTCAAAACTAAAGCGATGTGCACGAAAATTTTTCGTTTTGCGCATCGGCACAAACGTGGCCGTGACATCGGCGAGCGCGCTGGCAACCTCGTAGTTAGCAGCGAAACCACCTATTTATTCGTAAGTTGCGGTTGTTATTAAAGTATATATAGAACCCTAGATAAAGAAGAAACTAGAATGAGCGATTCGCATGCCACTTGATGTAGGGTGAAGTAGTTAATCGCTAATGAACGTGCGAATTCTCACTCGCTGCTCCTTTTTATGGCTGCGAATTAAGGCGGGTCTTTTCTAGCCAGGACAAACAATGTGCCACATGCAAACTTCACGACTTCCTTTCTTTATTAGAACTACAAAATCCGTCCATGCCTTGCATAGTGTAGCACCTCAGGGTGTATAGGGATGGCTTGCTGCTCTCCCATAGTTGAGTACCAAGTACTCGAAATCGGTAAACATTTTTTCTAACCTCCCCCCCCCCCATGTTCTTATTTTAAGGACAGCTTACTGCTCTCATAGTTGAGTATACCAAGCACTCAAAATCGTTAAACATCTTTTCTAAACCCCATAAAGTGTGAGGCCCACGGGACATATAAACGCAGAATATGACGTAGACGAAAAAGATAACTAGCCGCTTGCAGGAGACCGAACTTGCGACCTTCACATAACACGTCCGGTGCTCTACCAACGACTTCACTTTATTTTTTTTAGCCTGATGAACAAGCTGATGCCCGGCTGCATCCCCAAGATCAACACCTCCGGTGGCCAGTTCAAGCTCATGGAGAACATCACCCACTTCCAGAACGCCGCCAAGGCCTGGGGTGTGCCCGAGATCGACGTCTTCCAGACCGTTGACCTCTGGGAGAAGAGGAACATCCCCCAGGTCGCCCAGTGCCTGATGGCCGTCGGCCGCGCCGTAAGTATTAAAGCGAAAGCTCTCTTATGTCTCATGCTCACGTTTGTCCGTCCGTCCGTGCGCTCGCTTGGTGCCAAGTGGCCGCTGGGGCGCGCCAACGGAGCCGGTCACGTCGAACTCTACAGCGTTCGCCTAGCGTCGCTGTGTCCAGTCATGCAAGAAGGGAGACGCGCGCACGACATCCTATTCTGACCGACCCCATCTCGTTGGGACAGGCATTCGCCGAACACACTTTGGAATTAACAAAGTGTCCTTTTTTTTTAGATGCGGAGCATCTAATACTCGAGGCTTGCAGTGCGGCGCCGTCCGCAAGCTTCCTCCTCCTTCTTCCACCATCTGTGCATCCCTTCCTCCTCTACACACCGCGCGCGCTTCACTCCTCCACCATCTGTGCACCCTTCCTCCTCTACACACCGCATGCGCTTCTCCTCTTCACGAACATTCGCTAGCTGTATAATGTAGCGCGCATGCGTCGTCACGCTTCGAGAACATCGGCAGCTGACGCGCGCGCATGCGCCGTCGCGCTTCGAGAACATCGGCAGCTGACGCGCGCGCATGCGCCGTTGCGCTTCTCCCCCTTCTCGAACATTCGACAGCTGACAGTGCATGCGCCGTCGCGCTGTATATATACTCAAGGTCGGCGCTCGCTCGCTCAGTTGCCGCTCGTCGGTTGGTTTGTACGGCGCGTCGACGTCCAAGGTCGCGGCGAAATGAATGCCAACGAATCCACAAACACAATGATCGACGTCCCTTCGACCAGCGCCGCCCTTTCGCATACGTGTGTACGTGTTCACTCATTTAACACCCCCTCCTACAACCACGTTAACCAATTTAGCCATCGACCCAAGTAAGTCGCAATTTAACACCCCATTTCACAACCACGTTAACCAATTTAGCCATCGACCCAAGTAAGTCGCACTTTAACACCCCGTTAACCAATTATATGCTCCGCATCCTCCTCAGTGTTCCCCCGAGGGAAGCTGCGGGCAATTTTTTTTTCACAAATCCGTTTTAGTGCATTAAGCCATGAGGCATCCGACTTTGCCCTGCCGGGAATGTCGCGTAAGGAGGTGTTAGCGTCTGTGTGCACGCAATTTGTTCTAGTTACCCCGGTTGTCTCGAACCCCCCAGCGCAGCTTCCCCCCCCCCCCCACACACACACCCCATAATGGTAAGGGGTAGAACAGGAGAATGAAAATGCGCGATTGCACCGAAAGATGCAAAGTACAGAAGTCATTCTGGCTCAGGAGTCTTAGGTACGAAAACCGCAACATGAATATTGGGACCACCCTGCATCTGAACCTGCATCCAAAAATGTGCACACGGGCATTTTTAAGCATGGCTCTCAAGCAAAGTTAAATTCAGTAACAGTGTCCGGCCGCGAATCGCATCTGTGACCTCTTGCTTAGCAGTCCAATGTCCACAGCTACTACCAACCCGCTTCTTCGCGTCTCACTCTGAGAATCGGACAATGCAAGCGTATAAGGGGCTCGCTGTTGCTTAACTAGGTCATAATGTAAGGTAGAATATGCGACATCGCTCTTGAAAACCGCGAAGCCGAGAAAGAAACGAAAGGTGGATAACGAAAGTGTTTCTCTTATCTGCCTGCTATTAGGGCATGTACGAGAATCCAGCTAAAGAAAAGGAAGGAGCGACGGCAGGTTGTTCAAGACTACCTTAGATATGATAACTTATCATTGTCGTTGCGAAAGACTGTGTCAGAGGGGAAAAGGAAGCGAGACGAATGCCTCGCTGTGTACGCATATGAACTCACTCACAAAATACCATGAACAAATATACTTCTTGGCATGATAAGCAATGAGCTACTTGTACTATAGTGTGCTTATAAACTTAAAAATGATGAGAGACTTTCGAAAAATACTTTCAAATGAGTACGGCGTCATCTAAGAGGGAAGAGAAATATGAATTTCAGCCAGGTGCACCAGCCTATAAACATAAGAACTGTTATTGCCTCATCGATCTGAACACAACTTTCCAAACATCGTCTTACATCACCTAAACAACGGAAGCTACATTTTGTCATAAGGTTCGCAACACGCGCAGTGAGATCTAGTGAGTGAGAGAGATACGCGTAGTGAGAAACAGAACTGTGTTTTATGAAGAATAAAAGGTGATAATGTGAGGTCCTTATTGTCACTGACACGCACTTTACTAATAGGAAAGAAAATATTAAGTCATAAAGCTACCTCTATGATTACCGTTAGCACATCGAACAGGTCGCACGATTGCGTGTACCAGTGACTAAGGGTGTGGTCAGAAATTCTGTTCAGGAGGCTGTCCGATTTCGCTTCTTGTATGTTCTTGCCTGTGCTCGTACGTGTAAGCATTTCGGAGGCCTGGGTGCTGTTTGAGCTCCCCACAACACACACCCCTGGTGATGTCACTGCCTGTGATAAATATTCTGGCTGTATCACTTACCTTGTTTGATTCACGATTAAGGAAGGCAGGACATTTCGAGCACAGGCACAGGCGAAGAGACTAAGGTAGCACGGTGGACTTGTTAGTTATCCGCCTCATCCGATGTATAGCGCATCCGGGACGGGAGAGAGCAAGAGACACATAACATACACTAGCACTGTGTGTGTGTTATGTTGTCATTTCTCTGTGCCATCCTGGATGTGCTTTACATCGGATACAAAGGAAGGCACCAAGATCATGGTTGTGTCCGCGTCTGGGGTTGCGGCTTGTGCTGTTGGTTCATGCTTATAAGAGGGCAAAGTTCAGACGGACACTACATGAAGAAGTTGCAACAACTTCGTTGTTGTGCCTTCATCTTTAGTCTGTATGAACTGTGCGCTTTTTTTCTCTCCTCTTATAAATCCGCGCCTTAAAGCCGTTAATCCGTACCACGACTTCATGGGTCCGTACCAACTATCTCAACTTTCTGTAGTCTGAAACACTGCGCCAACATCTCGATCTCTGTGTCCATTCGTCTCACGGGTGTAACCTTGTTGCGCAGTGCTACATGCACCCCGAGTACCGGGGACCCTGCCTCGGACCCAAGCCCGCCGAGGAGCAAAAGCGCGAGTGGACGCAGGAGCAGCTGCGGGCCGGCGAGGGCATCATCAACCTGCAGTACGGCTCCAACAAGGGCGCCACCCAGAGCGGTCAGAACTTCGGCAACACCCGGCACATGTGAAGCGCTCGCCAGAACTTCCCCGACCTGCACGCACGCTTCTCGACACACGCAACAACAAAAGATCACGTGTCATCTTACGCTTGCCGCCAAGCTGCTGCCCCAAGTCGTCGAAGAAGATACAAAGCATCCGTGCGAAAGCTCGATGCAACCGTTCAAGGAACTGTACACATTATTAAGTTATTGTTTTAAAAAATGGCACTTTTATCTCGACATTTCCTGTGCCCCTTACTTTCTCTTCCTTTTCTTTTGTCCATGGTTGGACACAAGCCAAAATTCACGCTGAAACTCGAATAGACTCGTCCCTGTAGCTTTGACGTCCACCTGCAGGGGATTCGGCGATGGACTAAAATTCATAACGTGGGTCTTGTAAGCCCCCTCGGTATGTCCATTTGTCTTTATGCAATCGAGCTATAAAAAAAAAACCAGTCCACTCAACCCCCTTTCTTTCTACCCTCTTTCTCTCGTAAGCGCCTTCCAGCATACTCACAAGTGCTGTAAACATTGATAACGTCTAGAGGTGTTATCAGATACGACTACAGCTGCCCCTCCGCTGCTATCCTAACTTCCTGTTCCCTAGCAATGCTGTGCGTCACAAATCTTTCCGACGTTGAAGCCATGCGAAGATGAACCCTTGATTTGGAATGCCCGATTAAGGAGCATGGCTGGAGTTTCTCCCTTTTTATCTATTAATTATTTGTCCATTAAGACGACTGCGCGAGGGAAGTTCAGTCCTGCTCCTTCGCCGAGTATTTTTGTACGTGACAGGTCACGCGAATGGTTTAAATAAATCATTGAGTATGACTGGTTAAGTCCATGATTCAGCCTCGTTGTCTCGGCTTTTGCGGTACTCTGATATTATGTCATTGACCAACGGAGCAGTGATAATCAGTTTATTACGGAGAGTTTTACTTTCTAATGACACATGTTGCTCTTCTCTTCGTGAATTTTTCGAGTCCTCTCTCGCCAATGTTTATTTTTTAACACAAAAGTGTTTTATACCTGGTTCTGCCGAAAGTTGAGGCGCGTCATTTCCGTCACGGAAGTGATGTCAATGTAAAAAGGACACATTGGTTGCTCAGAAGAAAACAAAAAAAAAAATCGAGCAACCCGACCGAGACGAACCTCTGACTGCTCTACACCGCGACATAGATACGCCCACGCTGAAGACTTTCATGTCAGCCCAATAGCAGCATGCTGTGGCAGTTCTATTTCTTTGCATCAAGCGCAGCTTCACGTTCACGTTCTCCTTACGTGTTATGAATGATTCCTCTTTACAGTGAACAAAAAGAGAGAGCCGGAGAGATTGATGGATTATCGACGTAAGATGATAACTCGTACCTGTCTAGGAAGCTCCTCGCTTTCTCAAAGAAACAATGGCAGTGGTGGTATATACTTCTTGCGATGAAAACATTAAACCATCTTTGTATGAGGGGGCAATTCTGTAGAGAACATAGAAATTACTCACCACACCTGAAATGGTAGTAAAATAGGCGAACGGCACAGGCGTAGAGCACTCCCTGTACTTTTCTTTCTTGATTGATTGATTTGTGGGGTTTAACGTCCCAAAACCACCATATGATTATGAGAGACGCCGTAGTGGAGGGCTCCGGAAATTTCGACCACCTGGGGTTCTTTAACGTGCACCCAAATCTGAGCACACGGGCCTACAACATTTCCGCCTCCATCAGAAATGCAGCCGCCGCAGCCGGGATTCGAACCCGCGACCTGCGGGTCAGCAGCCGAGTACCTTAGCCACTAGACCACCGCGGCGGGGCACCTTTTCTTTCTTAACGTTATTTCCACAGAAGATGACCGATTTTGCACGCATCTTTTGCGTTTACATATGAGGGTGTTTTATCGGAAAGATGTTTCATGTGGGAACCACATAAGTCTCTGCTATATTAGATAACAAATTACTATAAATTGTCTCCCTTTCTCGTAAATACATATCTTTTACTTCACACGAAAACAGCGCAAAAAGACCGGACACCAACTCGCCCAACCAACTCCTTTAGCGACATATGCCTTTGTTTAAGTGGAAAAAATGCACATTTCTTTTTTGCACTTCTATGACGCATGCGAGTTTCTCCTAGCGGCAAAGTAGCAAACCACATTTTTTTATCTCATATGTGTTTTCTTTCTGGCGATGCCTATTGTACTGGCCCCTGCCAAAATGCCGCAGTGAAACACACACAAAAAAGACGGGAAAAAAACGCATTCAGTACGCAACGGCCGCGTTGGTATGATGGTTGCGGTGGCGGGCTGCTGGCCACAAATGCGCAGGTTCAATCACAGTTGCGGTGCACTTACGGTATAGGTGAAATGCTAGACGTCCGTGTACGTGCATTTCAATGCACGTTAAGAACACCATATATGGTCGAACATACGCGAAGCCTCCTGTACGGCGAACCTTGTACTCACAGTTTCAGCATTTTGAAACCACTGAAATTATTACTACACAGCATAATATTCTACTCGTAGGCTCATATTCACACATCTCCGAAAATCAGGATTAGATCTGCCGGCTACCTACAACACACTAATCCTAATCCGAATATTAATATAGCGCGTGGTGAGTCTTTCCAGCGTGCCCTCAATGACATTACACGCAACAGCTCGGCCAATACCTGGGACTCAATTCTCGAGCGCTCATTCTTGCTCATTCTTGGCGATACTTCTTTAGTGAGATTTTACGAGACTGTCATAGTATGAAAAAGGGCTGAATATACAGGATGAAGCATAGCGATGGCACCGTGGTTTGCGTCCTTTTCTCATTTTGTCTTTTTAATCCTGTTTAATCGTGCACCAACAGCCTGAGTCAGCCTTCATTGGGTTGGACCAATCCCAGCATTGCTTAAAGGGTATCCAGGTGGCCATGAAGAATTTTTACGATAACGAACCACCGAGGACCACTGGTCTGTGTCAAGAATGGTATGCTTTCAATATTAACTCCAGAAAAGCTAGGAACGGAAGGCAGGCCGTTGTGGAAAGGACGTCCGCTTAGTTTGTGCGATATAAGCGTGCGATTTTGTTGTGCTATTCGCAATCCGTTCATGGTCAAGTTGCTTTTTGAAACTATAGGACATGGTGACGAGGATGCCGAAGCAATACTTTACCACGGCGAGACGAGATAGAATACGCTTTTTTTTTTCAGTCTGCTGATGCGCTGAGAAATGAGAAGTGCCTAAAATAATTGAATATTGGCCGCATGGACTTCTATAGGTTGCCGCCTTTCAGAAAACGTACATTGCACACTTCATGTAGACCTGAAATTTGCACCCCAGGCACACTTCAAGACGATAGAGTTGTTAAGAATGGTGCGCATAGAAATATTCCCGGAGAAAAGAAAAACGACAGTATATTTCTCAAAGTGTTCATTGCATCTCGAAGAATTTTTAAAGACGCGCGGATTTGTAGTAAGGACCCTGTTCGATTCCAGAAAAGTAGCTACCTACAACTTTCACTTTCAGACAGAACAGCCCACTTTGCGGCGATGCGCAAGGAAGATTACAAAAAAAAAAAAAAGAACTTTGTAAGTCTTGGGTTAAAACGTTGTTGCAAACATATTGACGTGCAATAAATAAAACAGATACGCAAGAAATCTGGCAGGATATGGGGAGAAAGGCCTGGTGAAACTTCAGAAACAAGTGGAAGACAACAATGAGTTCACACTACGCCCCATTTTCTCTGCGAAGACGCACAAAGAATGCAACCGGACACAAGGATGCATGACTTAACGAACTTTCAAGATATTTATTTACAAGTACCTTACAGGGTCCTCGAGGAGCATTAAGGGGAGCATCACAAAAATAAATGGAAAAGAATGCGATACATGAGTATGAAAACGTGAAACAGTAACGTACTTGCGAGACGGTGAAACAAATTGAATTACATGGCAAAATAATACTAAGAATAACACCAACTACCAACTAGCAGCACAATAATATGAAAACAATACTCAGGAAAAAAAACATCTATTGCTCATTTCAGTTGATGACGCTTTCCTAATAGTTGTATCGCAGTGAGGAATAGAGCAACAGAGAAATTTGTCAGTTGATGTTGTAGCAGTTTTATATTATCCTGCAAGGTAATTCGGCTAAGTGTAAGTACGCATCTATATCTATAGTTGAAACTCAATTTAAGAAACTGCTGACAATTCTCGAATCAGTTCGTTACATCGGGATATTTGTAAAATCGAGAAAGGGGATTGTAACTCATCTGCAATCGAGAAGTGTTATGTGGAAACGTCCGGAAGTTACCGGCAAAATTGTATTTGCCGGCTTTCCGCGCCCGTCCACGTGATAAGCCCGCGATGACGGGCTGGATTAGCAAAGCTCACATACCGCCCGTATAGGAACATACGCATGAGGGAAATACAGGCCAGATACACTGTCAAGTGTGTCTATATGACATGCTGTGGATATGCAAAGACGCGGAGAATGACTGCGGTGAATGTCTGACCTAGAGCAGGCTAAGCGAGAAAGTTGCGAGACATGTGAGGAAGCTATCAGTGCAATCTGTTGTGTGAACTGTGAAACAACGAGAGCGACCACCACCGGCTCTAGCGCCATCTGGTACATAGTAGAGTAATGGCGCTACCGTAATGCCGAGTCCGTCGTTCCATGCAAGGGCGCGGCGGGCAGCCTAGTCAAGATATAGCGTCGTGTATAGGGCGTGTATAAGTTTTAACACTGTAGTGATAGAGCGCACGCAAAAAATTAATGAAATTATTCAATGAAAACGAAAAAGAACAAATGTGCGTGAAAATTATAATGAACTCACCGCTTTTTATTCATTTATTTCATTAAAAAATGCGGCCAATTCCACTCATTCTGTAAGTCAATGTCATGCGATGCAGTAGGAGAGTAGTGGCTTCTTACGCTTTTTTTATCTCATTGATTTAAATCAAGCGTTGCGAGTTCGACTCACTTCTTTGTGCATACTGCCCGCGTAGCGAGGCACTTTTTTCTGGAATGGATCGAGGGCTTACGCACTTGCT